GTAGAAACGCTGCTGCTTCTAGCTCTACCTGGAGTGTAAATTTTTCCAAAGATAAGACAATTGCGTTGTTCTGGGCAAGATGGTGAAATATGATGCCAGAGCAGAAGAAATGAGTTTAGACAAATTATAAAAAAGAATCTGGGCACAAATTAAGATGGCCATTTAGAGGTTTGATGTTGATAATAAGTTGCTATTAGATAACTTTACACATAGGTTATCTGGTGTGTTTGAAATAGCTTTTTTTTTTTCCTGATTAAAAAGATTATTGCAAGAAATTCAGAAAAGTATAAAGAAGAAAACCACCACCACTACCAGGCTAACCACAATTATTATTGGGGAATATATCCTTCCGGGAATGGTGTGTGTGTTTCAAACAGAAATGAGATTTGTACTCAACATGCTATTTTGTAACCAGCTTTCTTTTTTTTCTTTAACAACTGGATGGAAGTAGAAATCATATACCATAAAATTCACCCATTTTAAGTATACAGTTCAATTATTTTTAGTAAATTTACAGAGTTGTGCAACCATCACCGCAATCCTATTTTAGAACATTTGCATCATGTTACTGGCTTCTTTCACTTAGTATTTTTTGACCGTTTTTCCATGTCAACACAGACCTCAATGGCTTCATGATATTCCATTGTGTAAACATGTCATATCGGTATCAATACTGGTATCTGTTTAGGTTCTTTTCTTTTATATTTAAATTTTTATTATTACAACCTTGTCCATATATTTGAACTTGCCTGAATATTTTTATAAAATAAACCCTTCCAAGTGGACTTTCTGGGTCAAAACAGCAAATACACTGAAAATTTTTATTTACATTGCCAAATTGCTCTCTGGGAAGGTGGAGTAAATTTATCCTCCCACCAACAGTATATGACAGGTCTTATTTCTTCATACCCTTGATAACTGTGAGTTGTCAGTCTTTTTATTCTTTGCCAATCTGATGGGAGAAAAATGATACATTTGTTTTGCTTTAGGGTACAAAAAAATCACCCAGAGGATCAGTATCTTTCATACATTTATTGGCTTTTTGTGTTTCTTCTTTTGGGAATTGCCTATTTTTCTTTTGAAACATTAGTCTTGCTTTTTTGCAATGGATTTTCCACCAGAACACAGGTGTTGTGAAAACCAGCACTAAATCTAAGCCAAAATGGGAAAGGAAAAGACTCATAACATCATCGACATTGGACACATAGTTTCAGGCAAGTCTGCCACTACTCTCCATCTGATCTACAAATGTGGTGGGATCAACAAAAGAACCATTGAAAAATTTGAGAAGGAGGCTGCTGAAATGGGAGAGGGCTCCTTCAAGTATACCAGGGTCTTGGATAAACTGAAAACTGAACTGAGCATGGTATCATCATTGATATCTCCCTGTGGAAATTTGAGACCAGCAAGTATTATGTGACCATCACTGATGCCCCAGAACACAGAGACTTTATCAAAAACATGATTACAGGCACATCTCAGGCTGACTGTGCTGTCCTGATTGTTGCTGCTGGTGTTGGTGAATTTTGAAGCAGGTATCTCCAGGAATGGGCAAACCCGTGAGCATGCCCTTCTGGCTTACGCACTGGGTGTGAAACAACTAATTGTTGATGTTAACAAAATGGATTCCACTGAGCCACCTTACAGCCAGAAGAGATACAAGGAAATTGTTAAGGAATTCGGCATCTACATTAAAAATTGGCCATAACTCTGACACAGTAGCATTTGTGCAATTTCTGGTTGGAATGGTGACAACATGTTGGAGCTGAGTGCTAACATGCCTTGATTCAAGGGATAGAAAGTCGTGCATAAGGATGGCAACACCAGTAGAACCATGCTGCTTGAGGCTCTAGATTGCATCCTGCCACCAGCTGACGAGCCCTTGCATCTGCCCCTTCAGGAGGTCTACAAAATTGGTGGTATTGGTACTGTCCCTGTCGGCCTAGTGGAGACTGGTGTTTTCAAACCTGGCATGGTGGTCACCTTTGCCCCAGGCAATGTTACAACTTAAGTAAAGCCTGTTGAAATCCACTATGAAACTTTGAGTGAAGCTCTTCCTGGGGACAACGTGGGCTTCAGTGTCAAGAACGTGTCTGTCAAAGATGTTCATCCTGGCAGTGTGGCTGGTGACAGCAAAAATGACCCACCAATGGAAGCAGCTGGCTTCACGGCTCAAGCGATTATCCTGAACCATCCAGGCCAAATCAGTGCTGGATACACACCTGTGCTGGATCGTCACACAGCTCACATTGCTTGCAAGTTTGCTGAGCTGAAAGAGAAGATTGATCTTCGTTCTGGGAAGAAGCTGGAAGATGGCCCCAAATTCTTGAAATCTGGTGATGCTGCCGTTGTTAATATGGTTCCCAGCAAGCCCATGTGTGTTGAGAGCTTCTCTGACTATCCTCCTCTGGGTCGTTTTGCTGTTTATGACGTGAGACAGACAGTTGCCGTGGGCGTCATCAAAGCAGTGCGCAAGAAGGCAGCCAGAACCCGCGAGGTCACCAAGACCCCCCAGAAAGCTCAGGAGGCTAAATGAATGTCACCCCCAGGACCTGCCACCCAAGCCTGAATGAGTGGGGGGATGGCCTCAGAACTGTTTGTGTCAATTGGCCATTTAAGTTTAATACTGGTTGATGATAATGCATTGTAAAACCTTTAGAAGGAAAGGAGAATGTTTTGTGGACCATTTGGTTTTTTGTTTGTGTAGCAGTTTTAAGTTATTGGTTTTGATTTTTTTTGTTTATTTTTTGTGTGTGTGAGGAAGATCAGCCCTGAGCTAACATCCATGCTAATCCTCCTCTTTTTGCTAAGTTATTGGTTTTTAAAATCAGTACTTTTTAATGGAAACAATTTGACCAAAAATCTGTCACAGAATTTTGAGACCCATTAAAACAAAGTTTGAGAAAAAAAGAGAAATGTTAGTCTTTTTTTTAAACCTCCTTTAGTTATAAGAGCTCTTTTCCCCTCAAGGTTATTAATACTTTTTCGTATATGTGGCAATATTTTCTAAAATCATTGTTTCTTTTTTAGCTTTGTGTTTTTATTTATAAAATAAAAAATTTTTTACTTATAGATTTGTAAAAATATGTATCACAGACAAAATGTAAGGCTCTTCCTACACTTGAAAATACAAAAAAAAAGGTATTAACAACTTCCATGTTTCCATTTAACAAGCATTTATTAAGTGCCTACTATGTACCATGTACAGTAGGGATTATGTGTTGAACAAAACAATGTAATCCCTGCCCTCATGGAATTTTCGTTTTGGTGCTTCATTCCTTGTCTTTTCAGCTTTCTTAAACTCTTACTTTCTCAGAGCCTTACTTTCTAAACTACAACTCAGAGAATTCAAAATAACTTGCAAACCTACAATACACAGATTATAAAATTCATGAGTTCCTTAGTAATAAAGTAGAGAACATTCATTCAACAAATATTTATTGGGCATCTATATGTCAAATTCTGTTGATGGTTTTGGAGATTGAATAGCAAAGAAAGTGGTCCCTGCTATGAGAGAGCACAGTTCATTTTAAATTAAGCAATTCTACCCTTGAAATCTAAGTAAAACAATTTTGTAAAATGATATATTGTCTTGCTAACAATATTTTTTCACTTATAGTCTTTATTAAACAAAAAATAAGATCAGCTTTTTACTTGCCCAAAGTGAGCACTTAAACGGGTTTCAGCTTATCTACGTAGATTGGTGGCAAATGTTTCCCAAAAGATCACTTAAGGAAGTGTTGTAAAATCATTAGGGCATCTTTCTGTAAAGACTGAAACACCACTTACCTTGCCTCATAAACTTACATATGTATAAACTTACATAAACTTACATATGTATCAGCCTCATTCTTTTTGTTTTTTAGAATGTTTGGTAACAAAAAAAACTATTAAAATAAAAACTCCAAGATGAAAATTCCCCAACTGTCCCTTAAAAAAAAAAGCATTTGACCTTCAGGCCATTTTATGTGGAAAAGACAAGACTTTTAAGTCAGTGGAGCTGGATGGATTGTGACACCTCACCAGGCAGATGCAGGGAGAGGCTGCCATCCTCACCCCCAGACCCCTTGTTTGGGGAGCCACGAATCCACCCCCACCCACACCCCAGCGACTTCTGTGGGAGTAACCCCCTGCTACACATTCACATCTTAAGAGATTCGGAAGAAAGAAAGGTAGATTCTTGCTTTGAAAAAAGTTGAGATACCCTAGGTATTGTGGTGCTAGCCACCAAGTGTGATAACCACAGTCATCAGAATCACCAAGCCAAAGGAGGAAAGCCAAATTCTAGGAGCTGTGGAGGGTATCAAGAGGAGAGCCTTGTGTTTGAGAAATTTTGTGAATGATAAGGAGTTATGGTGAATGGAACAGGAGAGGGAGCAGAGACAATGTACTGAAAGATGCTAGAAAGGATGTGGCAATGAAAAGTAAACTACTGTCCCTAAAGGCACAGTCTCTGTGATATACTACAGTTAATAAAATGTCCTGGGATTGGTGTTCTTTATCTTCTGTAAATGATTCCATTTAACCTAATTGTTTTCTTCCAATTTAATTCAGGAGTGGGAGACCATATTGTGTTTTATAGAAATTTGCTTTGCCCGGCTGCAACATCTATTTGGGACAGCAGTGGCTACCAGGATCGTTCTATTTCATACACAGGGGTATTGCTTTTGTAGATGAATGGCTCCAACTAGCTAGACTATTGTACAAGCCGAATTCCTCTCCGCCGTGGGGTGCCGGGCATTTGGTTAGCAGCTGTGGCTGCTGCTTGCTCCTAAGGTATGAGCAAATCACCCCACTGATGAGCTGAGCTCAGGGTGGTCTAATTAAAACAGACGCCATTTGGATACAACATCACAGGACCTTGGAATGCAGGGGAATTTAGGGGTCATCTAGTCTAACCACCCACACATTTCCAGTGAGGCCTGCAGGAACTAAATCACTTCTGCCCCAACTTGAAAAGGCCGAGGTGCCACACACGTTCCCACACGCAAGCCCCGAGATTCTGTTCCATGTATGCTCAAACTTTATTTGGTTGTCTGGGTGGGGCCAGAGAGGAGGAAGGGGAGAGGCCGAGGGGCCAGTTCAGTAGGGGTGATTCAGGGTGTACTTCAGGATGGTCTGAAGTGCCAGCCACGTCTCCTGGGCTGTGGGGATGATCTGGGAGGCCGGCAGAAGGAAGCCATAGCGCCCGGTGTCCCGGAGCTCGAAGGTGAAGGAGTACTTGATGCCCTGGCTGTAGGCCCAGTCAATGGAGTTTCCACTGGCTTGGTCTGGGGCAGGGGCAGAAACAGGAGAGCAAAGGTCAATCAATTTGAAATATTTACACGGGCCGGGCTAACAGTCCGAAGCCCGGAGCCTCGTGCAGTAGGCGTCTACTAAGCGCCTGCTGTTGACCAAGCAGCCTAGCTTCCTCCCAAGAAGCTCCCGCAAAGGATCTCAGCCAAACAGGCCCAGGGAGGTGGACCAGCAGTGGTTCTCCTCTACTGGGGGATGCAAGAAAGTTCCTGCAACTGTGAAAGCCCCACTGAAAACCGTCCAACAGCCGCTTTGGTCAAGCCTCCAAAGATACCAGAGTCACCGACTTGGGCAGCTGGGATTTGTGCCCCAGGGCTCTGGTCTGCAGGGGAAAGTGCAAAGGGCCCCAGTCAAAGCAAAAGCCCTTTGTCTGTCTTTGCCCAGAGATGCAGTCAACAGTGGGAAACGAAGCTGCTTTTGAATTGGGCAGGGGAGAGGGAGGTGGCTGCGTATCAGAATTGAACTTGACCACGTTGAATGAAGCAAAAACCTTTGACTCAGGGTTGAAACAGTTTCCAAAGAAGACCTGGAGTCCCAAAAGCAAGGCGAGCCCTGGGGAAGACTGGGACCAACTCACCCGCCGAAACCTGGGCGCAGGGGCAGGAGGTCTGTGAGAGGAAGTCTGCGAGGGGGACATGCCGCCCTCCCACCTCTGCCCCTGTCCCTGCCTCTTCAGAACTCCTGCCTCCCATCAGCAGGCAAACTTGTTGCTTCCCTCAGAGCCCGAGCCATCTGCCCCCCACCCCACCTGTCTCCTACAATCTCCTGCTCTCACTCTGCTGCAGCCACGTGGGTCTCCGTGCTGTTCCTGCTATTCCTGCAACACGCTAGGCCAGATCACACAGTAGGGCCTTTGCTCTAGAAAGTTCCTCTGCCTGGAAGGCTTTTCCCCAGGTAGATGGCATCTTGGCTCCCACTCTCATTACTTTCAACACTTGCCCACATTTCACTCACTCAGTGAGGCCCTTCAACCCACACACCCCACATCCACCCCCTGCCCCCCGTATTCCTGAGTCCCCTCACCCTGTTGTAGTTTTTCCTTTTCTCCCAAGCACTTATCACCTAACATGCTGTATCATTTACTTATTCGTGTTTATTGTCAGTCTCCCTGGCTACACTGTAAGTTTCCCAGTCTTTGCTGATTTTATTCCCAATTGTATCCCAAGCACACAAAACACGGCCTGGTGCAGAGGAGGTGCACCATACACACTGGTTGACTCAATTCCATTCTGGAAGTGCTCCTCCCAGGGGCATTGCATGTACAAGTAAACTGGGAAAAGATAGGGTATATTCTCTAATTGAAGGGCATTGGAGGAGGAATATTTTTTTCTAAGTTGAATTTCCACAAATACCAGCAGAACTCTCCACCTGCTCCATGCATCAAGCTGGTCTTAACCCCAAGACAAGAGGACAAGAGTTCTCAGAAGACCTGAAACGTTTTTCTGAAGATATCGAAGAAGGCAGAGTTCCCATCAGAAAAGGGAACCACTGCCCACCAACCCAGCAGTTGTCAGGCACGGCAGGAGCCGCTCTCCTCACCCATGCTCCCAGATCTAGGCACCCTTGGCTACTTCCTCCAGGAGGGACGCTCCCTCAGGCAGGAAGAGACAGCTGAGCTTCCTCCTGGGGCCACCATGAGCATGCACCCACTTACAAATTGTGGTGTAAGTGCTGCCATACTTGAACTTGGTCCCATACAGAGAGGTCAGGGCCTCCACAGCAGACTTCGCCACCTGATCCTGGAGACAAAGCCAAGCAAGACCACCCGTCATGGCCAGTAACACCAGGCCCCGGGAATTGCAGGGCCAGGGTAGCCTGGAGGCTGGCCGGGTGACCCAGGAGTGAGCACCCTGCAGAAGCGGGCCCCTAGCAGAGAGCACAGGGCCTGGTAGGCCCTACAGGGTCAGCCCCAGGGGCTCAGCAGCCCCACAATCCTCTGACCCTGCAGGATGTCTGGCTAGCACTTCAGTGCCCTTTGGTCACACTGCAGCTCCAAGTGCAAACTTGCAGTACAACTTGCTCCAAGTCCAGCCCTGCCCCTTGCTCTGTCATGTGACAGAAGTGACTCAACCACTCTGTGCCTCAGTTTCCCAGACAGAAAGCGAGGCTAGTCTGCCTTGCCGGTCTTCCTCACCATCAGGGTCCCACGGGAGGAAGGGGTGGTAGGGTGTAGGCCCTCAGGCCTTAAGCAGGTCTGATGGATGAAAGCCCAGACCTGCCCAAAGCCGCCTGTGGGGTCGGAGGGCAAGCAGGGGTCAGCACATACCAGCTCATTCTGGTCGGCAGCTGCTTCTTTTTGGTAGCCATAGGGATAGAGGAGGAGCTGGGAGTAGCTGTGGATGGAGATGAAGGCCTTGATGTTCCCATGGTCCTTCACAAAGTCCACGACGGACTTGACCTCCACTTCAGAATTGGCAGACTTGCCGTGGTAAGTCTCTGAGCAGGGGCTGCTGCTGGCTCCGGCCACTGTGGGAGAAGAGAGGGGTAGTGGGCATTCCTTACACCCAAGCAGTTGCGGCTCCCATGGCTTCCAGCTCTCTGGATGGAGTTAGGGGTGAGGTGGGATGCAGGAGGGTTCACCCCGACCCTGGGATTAAGAAAAGGCCAGAGGCCTTTTATAACCTGGGAGTCCTGTCTCTGTCCACAGCCAGGCTTGGGCAGAGCTGATGGCCACGCCCAGGGAGGTAAGAAGGGCAACTCAAGCCAGACAGGTTCTTGTAGAGAAGTGACCACAGAGGGAAGGAGCTACCCTAGCAAAACCCTGGACAGGTGTCAGACTTTAGTTCCATTGGAAGGAAGTTTCTTTTTACAGACTAGGGACAAGCAAATCTCAGAGTGCCACCTTCCTCACCGAGAGCCTCAAAGGAGGGGCTGACCCCCACCCCACCCTCACTGCTGAGGGCAACAGGACAAAGGAGGGTAAGAAGCCCTTCTGGGTCGTCCCATCCCTGCTCGCCAAGTCACTCTGGGCCTTACACCCAAAGCCAGCGTCCCAGTTCCTGTTGGCGTCCACCCCGACACAGGAGGAGCCTGAAGTAAGGGATCGAGTCTTGCGCCACAGGCGATTCTGAGGAAGGAATCAAACACTTGTCGGTCACCGCGCTAGGCTGGGGTTCAGAGCCCCAGAGAGCACTGTGGGCTGCGAGCGGCCTCCATCAACACGAAGCTCCCCAATCCAGAGCTTGGGTGTGGACACAGTGTGGGATCAGAAACCACTTCCAATTGGTTGTCAGGGAGAAAGGTCTGCAAAGGGGGCTCTTGGTTGAAGGAGAGCAGAGGAAACAATGGAGGGCATTTGACCAGAGGGTTCTACTGGTGGCAGGTGAAGAACGCATGAGGCGCCCCCCAGACACATTTAATTGGAAACATGCTGTATCTGCCATAAACATAAAATAGAACCAGGAAGAAAGGTCTGGGGCAGTGGGTCTCCACTGAGGGCAGTTTTGTCCCCCCACACCCAGACATTTGGCAATGTCTGAAGATGTTTTCGATTGTCTCAACTGGGAGTTGCTACTGGCATCTAGTGAGTAATAGGTCAGGATGCTGCTCGACACTCTGCATGCCCAGGACAGCCCCGCACACAAAGAATGCCCTGCCCCAGAAGCCAAGACCACCGAGGTCAAGAACCCCTGGCCTGGGAGGACAGGTGTGTGCCCCTCCTTCGACTACTGGGGGTGGAGATTAGGGGTGAGTAGCTTGTGGACCTTGGAGGCTAGAGGCCCACCCTGCTTTCCTCAAGAACAGAAGAAGGCCTGTACCGTGCTGTGGGTGTAGGCAAAACCATCAGGGTTGGTCACGATCTCCAGGAAGATGTCCAGGGAGTCAAGAACGGCGGTGATAGCTGGGTCCTGGCCATAGTCTTGTGTGATCTGGTGGAGGGTTAGGGGGCAGAGAGGCAGAGTGGGCCAGACCAGGCATCAGCCCTGCTAAAGCAATGGACGCCTGTCCTCAGCCTCCCTCTACAGTCACGGCTTCTGGATGGGAAGGGGAGGCCAGGGCTTCCGTGGGCCTCAGACACCAATGCCCTACCAGACAAGAGCCCTCCTCACCTCCCTAGGCTTACCTTCTTTGCAAACCAGACCCCGCTGGCCTGGGTGACCCACTCCCGGGAATGGATGCCTGTGTCAAGCCAGATGGCAGGACGGTCTTCTCCCCCAGTGCTGAACTGGACAAGAAGAGCAGGGAAGTGGTCCAGCTGGAGCCTCATCTCACCTCCTTGAAGGCGAGAGCACCCCAGGCCAGAGGCCATCTGCTCTCTGGCTATCTCCAGTTAACGCTCTGTTTGTGGGGCCATCACTCGGGTGGGGTATAGGGGCTGGGGTCGGGCCGGGGATCCCGCAGAGCTTGGCCTCCTGCCCTCATGTTGGCCTTGGGGCAAATATGACTCAGCCAGACTTCAGGGCCCCGCCCTGTTCTGCTGCACATACAGTTGTCTGTGGGAGATCACATTTTATCTGGACTACTCTGCCTCCAGGATACTTTCCACAATGTGACACTTGATTGGAAACACTCGGGTCACTTAAAAGTTTAAACTGTGTGTGTACAGATATGCGCACACCTAGACCAGCATGGAAATTCTGACCTTCCCAAATGTCGGCACAGGGAGTCAGTACAACAGTGTGTTCTCTGTGACCATGGGCTCACCCGGGGGAACCTACGCACAGATGTGGGTGCCCGTTCTTGCACGTGTGCCCGTGTACATCCACTTGCAGGCTCCCGTTACCTTCAGCACGTAGATGGGACGACCTTCATAGGAGCTGCCAATCTGGAGCTTGCTGACAAGCTGTGGGTTCTCAGCCACCAGCAAGTCAATGAAGCCATAGATCTGAGAAGGAAGGGCGGAGAAGGGAGGGCTTAATGGCTTCCGAGCACCCGGGAGCCTCCCTTAGCAGCTCCGTTAGCCAGCCTCCTGTGAACTCTGCAATGCAGAGGAGCCACGACCCAGACAGCCCAGGACACATGGAGGCAGAGCAGGTGCCAGGCACACCCAGACTGGCCCTGGCTCTGGCCGCATTCTGCTAGCCTGATGAAGAGCTTGGTGCTTGTGGGGAGTGGCCCCAGGGGTCCCTCACCTCCTCCAGGGTGTGGTAAGTGGCGTAGTTAAAGTTGTCAGTAGAGCTGGTCCGGGCCTGGGAGGTGAATATCTGCTCCTGCTCTTCATCCAGCAACGACTGCACATCCTCGATCATAATCGTGTACTCGATGCCATAGGACTCCAGGAAGATTTTGACAGCCTGGATGCTGGAGAAGGGCACTCGGACGTCGATGGGGGAGCCAGGCTGGGCAGGGGCCCGCCAGAAGTCCAGCTGGAGAAGACAAGAGCTGGCACTGTCACAGCGGGCTGGAAAAGGGCCAGCCTGGGAGGGGTTGTTGGTGCCAGAATTTCCCGTATAATTGGGGAGGAGGCATGGGCGTTAGGGGCAGAGGTTGAAGGGAAACCCTGGGCACTGGACAAAGTCCAGTGTGGTCAGAGAAATGGCCCAGGAAGCGGAGAGGAGGGGCTTTGAGACAGCAAGTGAGAGAGAAGTACTGGAAGCGGGGGTCCCCCCTTCACTCAGATGCTCAAGGGCAGCAAGATTCTGGAAGGGGGCGGGGTTTAAGTCACTTCCTAACAAGGATCAGTCCCATGGCTCTGTTCTGGGTGGCTGGGGAGATAGAGCCCAGGCCCCAGTAGGTCCCAAGGGGTAGTGGGGTTCTGGGGTGGGCCCAGTTAGCCTGAGAGGTACCCTGGGGCCTCAGGGAGGGCTCCCCGCTTCCTCTGACCTTCAGGTGCTCCAGGTCCTCCAGCTCCTTCACCTTCTGTACCTGGGCTTCATCAGCCCCAGAGATTCGGAGCACCTGGTGCCTAGGCAGAGCACAGGGGGAGACTGAGGGCCTGAGCAGCCTCTACTGGCCATGCACACTCCCCACGTGGGAGGAGGGCAGCGGTTGGCCTGGACACCTCGTCCTCTGGGCTGAGCAGGGGGAAGCACAAGGGGTCTTAGCAATGGGAGGCCTGGGCTCCTTGGAAATTTCTGGACACTGCTGCAGTCCCCGTCCCAGTTATACTCTATTTCTCCCGCCAAAGCCAGCTAGGCCTCTTCCCACCTCCTCTCCTGAAAATTCTTTCTCAGAGCTCAGATTTCTCCAGGGCTCAGGAGGCTGTCCTGAGAGACCGGACCCCTTCTCAGCCCTGGTCTCCAGTCAGCCTGCCTCCTAGGGTGGGCTAGTCTGCTCCTCTCTGGCCATCTTCCCATGCATCTGTGTGTCTGTCTCCTCTAGATGCCGGCTGGGGTCCAAGTCCTCCCTATCTCCCCTCTGAGCACCCTCTCCTCCTCTCCACACCCTTACCCCACAAAGTCCTCTTTGCCGAGGACAGCCCCCAGCAGCACACTCAAAATCAGCAGCTTCTGCATGCTGCAGCCAGTTAGGAAGGTCAACTGAGGCGGAGAGAGGCTCCTGGGGCTTTTTAAACTCTCCCAGGACAGAGGTCTTCTGGTTGTGCCCAAGAGTGGGCCTCCCCTTGCACCTGGGCCCTGTCCCACGGGGAGGGAGGGATGGGAGTTTTGAGCTCTGACACCTTCTCACCCTCCCTGATAAAGTGGCAGGGAACAGGGCAGCTGGAAAGATAAGCCTGGCCCCAAGCCCTTGGCCATGAGGGGCCAGGCTGGGCTGGAGGCCTCAGCGGGGACCCTGCTCTTTCATAGCCCTGGGCACTTCCAGTTTGCTGACCAGGCAGTGGAGAGGGAGCCAGGACTCCGGAGAGGCCTCACTAGCTGGGGCCTCGTGCAGGTGCCCCCTTCTCCCAGGTCCCTGAGCGCCAGCTCTTTTGTTCCTGTGACAGAGCAAGCTGGGACCCTCTGCTCCCATACAGCTCCTGTCCCCGCTGGCTCCTCACCACACTGGCTTTGTCCAGGGCTGCCCTACCCTGTGCACACGTGTCCCCCTCTGCAGTACAGTCCCCTGAAGGGCACTTCCCAGCCCCACTCCCACCAGCCTCAGCAGCCTTGTGGGAGTCAGGCCACAGCAGCAGCAACTGGGGCAGGAGCCCAGCTCTCTCCAGCATTTCCCTCCACCCCCAACGCTCGGGCTCAGGGATCAGGGTTGCTCTTGATGGGAACTGTAACCGGATGTCATCTGACTAGAAAGTGTGGTGGTGGGAACCAGGGCCAGACCCCTGTTGAGACCGCACAGTGTACAGGAGAAACTGGAACTCACAAAGGGGAATTCGCTCTGGCTCTGGCTGCTGATCTCACTGCAGAGACATCTAAGGCAGATCCGCTCTAATCCGCAGGGGCCCCCATCAGTTCCATAGCACCATCTGGGGGCCCTGCTCTGTGTCAAGGCCTCAGGCGTGGGCACTGATGACAGCCAAGGCAGCCCTTTCTGGTTTGCATCTGTTCCCTCTGCCTCTTTACCCTACACCCTACCTGGACACCCTCCTATATGCCAAGGCAGAGCAACCCCATTATATTTACCCACAACTGTCTCCCGAGCCTAGCTCTGGGAAGATGATAAAACACTGAACCCATCCTCAACAGATGTTGGGCCTCCACAAAGACTGTGTCTTTCCTTTCCTGCCCTCCAGGCCCCAGGCAAGGCTCACTTCCTCCCTAAAACTTCCTCTGGCTTCTTTCTCTCTCACAAGTCTGCCTCTTCTCTGAATGCTCATCCCTTTATTCAGTCATCCTTCCAGGCCAGGTACTATGTTCCACCCTGGGATGATGGCCAAGACAGACTGGTCCCTGATCGCAGGGAGCTCACCGTCTAGCAAAGGAGACAGACGTCACCAACCAACTTGTATTTTCAAGTGCTTCAAGAAGCTGTTGCCAAGACAGGATTAGACTTGCAAGAGACTTACTGGGGATGCTCTCCTCGCTGTAAGAGACCTGAGCAGCACATTCTCTGTGACATGGCATGAGAAGTAGCATAGGCTATGGACTCAGCACTATGGGCACACACAGAAGGGTCCAGGGAAGACTTAACCAAGAAAGTGACATTTAACCTGGGTCTTAATGACAGGATTTTGCCAGGCAGAGAAGGGAAGGGGTGTTTATCACACTATTCAGTGCTTGAACACAAACTCACATTCATTCCTCCTTAATTGTTCCTGGAGAGTTATTTCTGTCTCCCCAACAAGACTATAAATTTCCTCCTACTAGGAACCGTGTCTTACCCGTCCCTCACACTCTTCCTCATCCCTTAGTGTCCTGCAGTGTCTCAAGCTTTTTAATCTGTTCCCCACCAGGAAAGAAGGTTTTGTAGAGCCTTTCTTTAGCTTGCATTAGGAACACAATATTTCTCTTTCTATTTCTAAATCTAAAGCTGTCCTATAATTTTGACTCTGTTTCATGCACACTACACATGTTGGGGGATGTTGGCGAATTCTTGGGCCTTCTGTGAATTCCTTCCAGAAAAGATAAGCCCATTGGAAAAGGGAGGGGTGGGGGGGGCGGGGAGACTGCCTTGCCAAGAGGGCCTCTTGCTGCCTCGAGCCAGCAATCCAAAGTGTCCAACAGTCATATAATCTATTTTCTTGCAAGGTTGGGAAAGATTAATTCAATGCTGCAAGCTGAAATGAAAGCCCACTCTGGCTGGAAGCTTGAAAGCACAGCGGCAGAGGAATTTGGGTCTCAGGTGGAGGTTCAGCCTAATTCCCTGGGCCCCCCCAAAGCACCTCAGGAAGATGAAAATTGCCTCTTGGTAAAGACCAATTTGCTAGAATGGAGGCTGGGGCAGAGGGCCACAGCTCTGCCTTCCCACCCCGTGAGCTTATTTTGCGTCAGTCCAAGGCAAGCACCAAGACGAAGGCCAATAGGCGGAAAGCTAGAGGAACAGGCAGAGCAGCAAGACCTATTCGCATGAGAAAGAAACCACCAGGCTGGAGTCTAGATCCAAGGACAGGTCACCGGATGCAAACAGAGGGAGGCCTGCTGTAGCCACATTGACTAGTGTTCCCAGTGTCCCTCCCTTCTTCTTCCGGGCTGAACAAACCCAGATTGCGTGTAGGTGTCACCCCTCGGGAAAGCCACCCCATTGCCGGCTCAGGGACAGATTCTTTTTTTTTTTTTTAAAGATTTTATTTATTTATTTTTTCCCCCAAAGCCCCAGTAGATAGTTGTATGTCATAGCTGCACATCCTTCTAGTTGCTGTATGTGGGACGTGGCCTCAGCATGGCCAGAGAAGCGGTGCGTCAGTGCGCGCCCGGGATCCGAACCCGGGCCGCCAGCAGCGGAGCGCGTGCACTTAACTGCTAAGCCATGGGGCCGGCCCTCAGGGACAGATTCTAAGAGTGGTCTAAGACAACTGAGAAATCCCTTCTCTTTCGCAAGTGATTGGTTTAGAGCCGGGCATGTGACCCCATTTTGCGAATGAGATGTGAGGGGAGGCCAGCAAGGAAGCTTCTAGCAAACGTTTCCCCACTCTTGAGAAAGAGGCACCTGTCTCTGGATATTGTCAAGTCTGTTGCCCCACCTTTGGGCTATATAATAGGAAAGAATATACATTTCGTTTTTATTAATTGAAGTTTCTGTTGTTCCTGTAAAAAGCTTTCTAACTGATGCACTTACCAAACTCTTAAAGTGCTTCTATTGTCAGAAGACAATACAATTTTAGCCTAGGGGAGCCTTTATGTGACATGGAGAAAGGGACCCCTCCCTCTCTGGGCAGTCATAGTCCCTCATCCTCTTAGCAGAATGCCTTTGTGCAGTGCACAAACTGGACAACTATCCATGGCAGACTTGTTGCCAGAGAATGCCCAGGCACAGTAAACAGAAGCTCTAAGGCAATGATCAGAGAACCCCTCCACCTGCCACCACCGAACTAAAACCTAGAAAATGGATTGTTAAAGAGGCAGAAGGAGAACCCGTGCCCCATGTCCACTTTAGGGATCAAAGGGGGACAGCGGACAAGGGAGATCCTTGCAGAGAGCACAAACAGGTGCAGTCAGAATGGCTGGCCGCAGTAGCTGGACGAGACTTCAGGAGTCTCCTTTGGCAAGTGTGTTTAAGGTCGGACATAGTACAGTTGTGTGTCTGGGAAGAGAAGTCTATGAGAATTTGGGGCAGCCATGTGGTGGATGTAGTCCACCATCTCTCACTTGCCCCGCCCAGGATCCTCCTCCTTCTGATAACAGCACCTCCATTTTCCCTTGCGGAGGGAAGGACCACCCCTTCTTGACTCTGAGGCCACGTGATTCAGGTGGACCTAGCCACCCCACCCCAACCCCAGGTCTGGGGATGAGCCAACACATTCCATTTTTCTTCCTCAAGCTTTTTCAAGTTGGTTTTCTGTCACATGTGACTGAAAAAAGTACACAGCTAACACAAAGACATTCTCTAACTTCAGAAGAGAGCAAAATGGGGCAGGGGGGGTTCGTAGATTGCCACGAACCCCTTATATGATTTGGGGCGGGTCACTGCATATCCCTGGGCCTCAGTTTCCTCATCTATGAAATGAGGGAGTTGGTCAGAATGATCTCCATGGTCCCTTCCAGCTGTGACACTTTATGACTCTAGGATATTTGTATTTTTACCCCCAAACGAATCAAAACTGTGGTGACAGGTCTGGGCTTGCCAGGTTTGTGAGATCAGAATAAAGCCACAGGGGCCCTGGGGCTTGTGATGGGTCAGCGTTCCCAGGGCAGTGTAGGTCGAGAGGGGCCACATCCTGCTGGAGTTGCAGGGGGGTCCCAGGGCTTGGGGGCGTCATGGAAGGCTGAGCAGAGGAGATCCATCAGCAGCCTCTCTGAGTTTTGCCCAGGAGAGCATATTTGTTTGTTTGCTTTGAAGCCGTAGAACTGTCCCTTTAAAGTGGCTAGAGGTGTTTGTCCCCAGAATGGAGGCAGGATTTTTCTTTGGAGGAAGAGTCACCTGAAGATAGAAGTAGGTCCTCAGGAAATGTCAAGTCAGAGCCCAAATCTGAGACGGGAGAGGTGGAAGAGAGAGGAACTAAGCAGGAGTGTCCCATAATGTAGAAGGACAAGTAGGCTGGAGGCTGGCTTCTCCCCCAGCCTGAGAGAGGAGCTGAGGAGCCCTTGGAGGGGCATTCCCACACTTGGGGGGCAGGATGGGCTGCCCCAGCGGCGTGGGAGTGGGCAGGTGGTCAAGGAGGGCGAAGGCTGTAGGGGTTACCTCGCGAAGGGACATCCACCAACTCCAGCGCCAGCGATCTCCAGCGTCCCGCTGGAGTGTTTTCTTTTCTACACTGTATGTCCCTTCTGTATTCTCAAGTGACATTTTGTGAAATGTTGCCCTGCGGTCTTAGCTATGCTTTGGGGAATGGAGGGAGGTGGGCTGAGAGGCAGAAGGGCGGATGGAGAGCCACAGAGCTTGGCGAAGTTGGTTAGGAGAGAGCAGGACACCGGGTACAGGCCCCAGGGCAAGAGGCCAGTGAGGGTCAAGCCAAACGGACTGATTTGCAAACAAGTTATCGCTCCCAAGGACTGTCCCAACTACTCAGGGAAGGAGAACCTCCAAAGGCTGGACAGGCTGCAGTTGTCCTTCAGGACCCCCCCACCACCCCAGAAGAACATGATTTGCCCCCAGGATCGAGATGTGG